TGTCAAATAACGCTTCTCCAATTCTGAGTAATCCCATGCTGAAGGTTCTTTATGAAACCGACATTTCTGGAAGTGTCAGATCTCCTGTTTCTCCTGCATTTCCTCCAGATGTTTCCAAGCTCTGATGAAGACCCCAAGAGCCCCTAAAACGTGTTGGCTTTTATTAAACATGTCCAGACATACTAGTTGTAGTCTTAATAATAGCTGAAATTTTCTTTTGAAACCAACACTTTCGGGAGTGTCAGTCTTTTGTGTCCCCTACAGCGCTCGGTGGTTCCTCCTGCTGATGTCTACATCACTAAAGTACCTATGTGGGGGTTGGCAGGAAAAACCAATGAGAGCTGTAGGGGCGTTCACAGGAGATCGATACTTTGGTAGTTGCTTTGGCAATTGGGTTAGAGCGACTTTAAAGCGGTCTTGCTGTAAAAGGCATGGTTTGCTTTTTAGATATGGGTCCTCTCTCCTTATTGAGTCTCATTCACGTGTGCGGCAGGTTCTTCCACCACCTTAAAAACTGATCTGCATTGGATCGCTTTTCAGAGGTGGTTTAAAGTCATTTTTCAGGAGACTGACAATTCCTACATGTCAATTTTTCGATCCCCACTGAGGATTTTAAGTTGAACCATCTCACTGTAGCTGCACAGTCCCATGGACTTCAATGGTCAAGTCTGACAGGTGGTGCTACCTGTCATACTTGACATCATTTAAAATTGACACAGCCAGGCCTTAAGGCAACGTATACAGATTTGAGCAGCTGGTGTCATATTGTACAAGAGAGGGTCAGAGAGGAGGAGGTATGAAACCACGGTCAACTGCCTGTTTTTATCGCCCACCTCCCAAAGGTGAGCTTATCTTTAAATTTGCGCATATACTGTAGATGTATCCCTATAGTGTAATGTACCTGTAAGGAAAAAAGTGTAATTTTGTATTTTATATCCTGTCCATCGTGTAATTCCTGTACAGCAGGGCTGGAGTGTGAAAGAAACAGCACAATTTATGGGCATGGGCAGCACAGTGGCTAAATGGTTAGCACTTCTGCCTGGCAGTACTAGGGTCGTTGGTTCGTATCCCAACCAGGGTACCACCTGCCTGGAGTTTGCATGTTCTCCCTGTGCCTGTGTGGGTTTCCTCCGGGTACTCCGGTTTCCTCCCACACGCCAAAGACATGCTGGGAGGTTAATTAAATTGGATCCTGTCTAGATTGTCCCTAGTATGTGTATGTATGAATGTAAGTTAGGGACCTTAGATTGAGGGTTAGGGACTGATGTGAATGTACAATATATATGTAAAGTGCTGCGTAAATTGATGGCGCTATATAAGTACCTGAAATAAATAAATAATAAATGGGCTGAAAGGAGAATGTTGATAGGTGGGGAGAGGAAGCGGAGAGATAAGCTCATCACCGCACTTATTCTCTTGTCCAGTCACAGGCTGGGGGCGGGTCCATGACAACCTACACTCTGAGCAAGTCGGTAGAATGATGCTAGACTTCAGACTGAGGACATCTTGTGGCATAAAGAAGTAGTGCAGGGGACAGCTGTGGACTGAAGCTGAATATTACAGCAAAAGCCACTTTTTTAAAATGTTATCTATTAATGCACTTTTAGTTTTTATCTTTTTTTTGTTTGTTTTTTTTTTTGAATAGGTGTTCTGCTTCAAACGTACGCTTCTTTAAAATACAGGTGTAAATGGTTCAAGGAGAACGATGACATATGTCCTTAGTAAAGGTGACCAAGTTTTACTCGTTGATCAGGTTGGCTTAGTGCAGTGGTGGGCAACCTTTTTTTTCAACTGAGCCAAATCTCGCCAAAACCACGATTGAAATTTATTTTGAGAGCCACATTTTTAAAACTGAAAATACATCTCCCATATAGTAATTCATCCCCCATAGTAATTCATCCCCCATAGAGTAATTCATCCCCCATATAGTAATTCATCCCCCATATAGTAATTCATCCCCCATAGCAATTCATCCCCCATATAGTAATTCATCCCCCATAGTAATTCATCCCCCATATAGTAATTCATCCCCCATATTAATTCATCCCCCATAGTAATTCATCCCCCATAGTAATTCATCCCCCATAGTAATTCATCCCCCCATAGTAATTCATCCCCCCATATAGTAATTCATCACCCCCCATAGTAATTCATCCCCCCCATAGTAATTCATCCCCCATAGTAAATTCATCCCCCATAGTAATTCATCCCCCATATAGTAATTCATCCCCATAGTAATTCATCCCCCATATAGTAATTCATCTCCCATATAGTAATTCATCCCCCATATAGTCCCCCCCCCCCATATAGTAAGTCCCCCCCCCATATAGTAAGTCCCCCCCCATATAGTAATTCATCCCCCATATAGTAAGTCCCCCCCCATATAGTAAGTCCCCCATATAGTAATTCATCCGCCATATAGTAAGTCCCCCCTGTGTCAATTCACTTACCTTTGCTCCGCGCGTTCCTCTCGTCGTGCTTCCCGCGCCGTTCTGGTCTTCAGGGCGGACTGTGAGAGGAGAGGAGTTCGTCACGCTGCCCCGCCTACATCCTGGCTGCCCCGCCTACATCCTGACAGCTGCAGAGTCCTGACTTTTGGGGCGGCCGCCCGAGAGGAGGGAGGGGAGCGGGCGGCCGTCCGAGAGGAGGGAGGGGAGGTGAGGGGGCGGCCGCCCGGCACACGCCCGTCCGAGGGGAGGGAGGGGAGGGAGAGGAGGGAGGGGAGCGGGCGCCCGGCACACAGAAGAGCCGCATTTAAGCTTGTAAAGAGCCGCATGTGGCTCGCGAGCCGCGGCTTGCCGACCACTGGCTTAGTGTGTTGACACTTTTTTGTCATCACCCTGTTAGGCACACATTTGCCGAGACATACGGTGTTCAAGCAAATTCAGTTGTGTTTTGTTCGATGTTTGCAAGTGAAATGCAGCAACAAATGATTCGCATTCAATTCACTGGAACCTTAGGTGCTGGGGGAAGGTAAAAACAGGCGAATGACCTGTGGTTTTACTGCCCCCCCTCCCAATCGCCCCCCTAAACACAGCAATACAGCCAAGGCTATATTCATGCTTTGGTTTGTGGCAAAAGGTAAACGGCATGTCACATTTGGCAGACGGTACCACGGCTGACTGGGACCCCTTAAAGTGATTGGGGCTGCATCGCAAAGGCACGCAATGCACCTGGGTGTGGTGGGGTGGCATTTTGAGGGTTAAAGCAAGCGGTGAGGAGGCAACATATCGCCTTCTTAGTGCTTTTCAAATGCCCTCTGAAAGGCGCTGTACCACAGATCACTGTTCAGAGGCGTGGCACATGTGAATGAGCCCCAGTTGTTCAATCTGCCTTAGCTCTAAAAAGAACTGTGCAGTGCAAGTCCCTGCCAGACTGGATATACACTGAACTGAGTGTAAAGAGAGACTCTCCTGTTGCATGATGTTGGTAAATACAAAGCAGATTGTACAATTGGATTGTAACATGCGTGTCCAACTAAAGGGCATATATATATATATATATATATATATATATATATATATATATATAAATGAAGCAGCAGATAATTCTTTCATGGATCGGGACTTTGCATGCTTGGGACGGGGTCACGTATACCGCACACATTTATCATCCTTTAGTGGGAAATCCAGTTGTTGGTAACACCAGAAGCCTGTTGCTGCCAGAAATACAGAGGCCTGTTGCTGCCAGAAATACAGAGGCCTGTTGCTGCCAGAAATACAGAGGCCTGTTGCTGCCAGAAATACAGAGGCCTGTTGCTGCCAGAAATACAGAGGCCTGTTGCTGCCAGAAATACAGAGGCCTGTTGCTGCCAGAAATACAGAGGCCTGTTGCTGCCAGAAATACAGAGGCCTGTTGCTGACCCCTTGGTGACAGTCATGCTAATGCCTTGGATTCAGCTCACTCTGGGATTGATATGTGCATTTGTTCTAATAATTGATTCAGAAAGTACTGAGACCATTGATTCGGCATGACAGCCAGGCACTTAGCATTTTTGGACAGAGGTTAGCGGGGAAGCCTCCACAGATTTTAAATCTGAACTGCAGCCTTGCACAGCTGCGCAGGCTCCTCTCTTAAGCTGAAATTGCTTACTCTGATTTCACTGCATACTGTGAGCTTCTCGCATTGTACATTGGAAGCTGCAGCAAGTCTTTTCCTGGCTGGAGGACATTCAGTATCATCTAGCCCTTTCCTCCCCAGCCTTACTGTCACCAGTCCGCCTCTTTCACGTATTCGATTTCAGTTTTTTCAATTCTGGAGCATCACATGTGGGTGTTAGCTAGGGCAGTCAACGTGCAAACCCCTTTTGCTCATTTTGTGTGTATCAAAGTCTTTTTTTTTTTTTCAATACAGTCAACACCATTGGAATCAATACCACCAAACCACCAACCCCCTTTACCAGCAACCACCACCACCACCAACCCCCACCACAACCCACCACCACCACCAACCAGGAGCAACTACTAGCCTACTAAAAAAGAAAAAAAATGTTCGCTGTCTATCAACAGCCTGCTGGTTAGAAATTATCCTTGTCCACACTTGCATGACAGCTAAAGGGAATCCTAGCACTCCTCTAATCAACATTTAGTAGAAATGGCCCCTAAGTCCTATTGCGCCCTCATGCAATTGCACAGTCAAAACAAATGGTGTATCCCTTGAAGAGGGAAAGGAGTTACATAGCACAGGCTCCAGGGAGCAGGCACAGGCTCCAGGGAGCAGCACAGGCTCCAGGGAGCAGACCTGTCCATTTCCCATGTAAGGAGCTGTAGGAACTCTCACTGTATTTAAATACAGAGATTTATCAATTACCTGATTTTGGCACAGTATCTGTGTCTGCTGGGATGCAATCTAATGTTTATTGGTTACTTTTTATTATAGTCACATAATCATTCAAATTTGGGTCAGTCCTGAGCTGTATGTATGATTCTTCTGTACATCAACCATCTCTCCTGCGCAGATTTCAGAACTCCTCCATAACCGTCTGTATTTGTTTCCCCCCAGATACAGTGAAGGTGTTCGGATTATTATGTGCCTCCGTGTTTGCTTGGTACTTGGGCTATTTCTTTGCCGAAATATTGCCTGAAGACTCCCTACAGACCGCCATCGGAAGCATGCAACGGCTAGGAGAAAAAACTATGATCAAAGGTACTTTTTTTTTTTTCCTAAATGTGTATCAGATATTCAGTATTGATTCTTCTGGATAGTTCCCTTTATTTGACCCCTTTTCAAGGTTTTTTTCCTTGTTACATTATCGCAGGACAAAGGCACAACCAAAACCTGACTACAAGGTGCCAGCCATGCACCGCACATCCTACTAAGGGGAAACCTGGAGTTTTTTTTTTGTTGTTTTTGGATAGAGTAGGTCTGTGTCCCCTCTGTCTAACTGTGAGAGGGAGTCTTCTTATCGGAGCCTGAACCGCATAAGGGTCTTCATGTGGGAGTCTGAACCCCATAGGTGTCTTTGTATAGGAGCCTGAACTACATAGGGGTCTTCATTTAGGAGCCTCAATTGCATAGGGGTCTTTGGTTAGGAGCCTGAGCTGATAGGGGTCTTCGTATGAACTGCATAGGGGTCTTTGTTTAGGAGCCTGAGCTGCATAGGGGTCTTTGTATAGGAGCCTGAACTGCATAGGGGTCTTTGTATAGGAGCCTGAACTACATAGGGGTCTTTGTGTAGGAGCCTGAACTGCATAGGGGTCTTTGTACAGGAGCCTGAACTGCATAGGGGTCTTTGTACAGGAGCCTGAACTACATAGGGGTCTTTGTATAGGAGCCTGAACTACATAGGGGTCTTTGTGTAGGAGCCTGAACTACATAGGGGTCTTTGTGTAGGAGCCTGAACTGCATAGGGGTCTTTGTTTAGGAGCCTGAGCTGTATAGGGGTCTTTGTTTAGGAGCCTGAGCTGTATAGGGGTCTTTGTATAGGAGCCTGAACTACATAGGGGTCTTTGTATAGGAGCCTGAACTACATAGGGGTCTTTGTATAGGAGCCTGAACTACATAGGGGTCTTTGTGTAGGAGCCTGAACTGCATAGGGGTCTTTGTACAGGAGCCTGAACTACATAGGGGTCTTTGTGTAGGAGCCTGAACTGCATAGGGGTCTTTGTATAGGAGCCTGAACTAAATAGGGGTCTTTGTACAGAGCCTGAACTGCATAGGGGTCTTTGTACAGGAGCCTCAATTGCATAGGGGTCTTTGTACAGGAGCCTCAATTGCATAGGAGTCTTTGTTTAGGAGCCTGAACTAAATAGGGGTCTTAGTATAGGAGCCTGAGCTGCATAGGGGTCTTTGTATAGGAGCCTGAATTGCATAGGGGTCTTTGTATAGGAGCCTGAACTGCATAGGGGTCTTTGTATAGGAGCCTGAATTGCATAGGGGTCTTCACATAGGAGCCTGAGCTGCATAGGGGTCTTTGTATAGGATATATAAAATAAAAACACTTCCTAGATAAATGAATGAATAATAAAATTATAAATTCAACTCCCCGCAGCACCATCAACACCTTCACCCCTAAAGAATTATTAATAAACAGAAAATGCTATATAAAAGTTGATCCCCCAGCAATAACTTTACAAGTGAAGTCCAGACCCTAAAAGTCCAGAAAATAAATCATATTCTTCATATGTGATAGCGGTGCCAAGTGTCCAAAAAATATGTAATCCTTCCAATGCTTTCCACGATAATATTCCCTCAAAAAAAATGAAATATCACATAGTGTATTATCTTTTAAAACAACATAAAATATAGTGACATCACTCAAGTGAATAACCAATCAAACTGATAATCAGTGTAATAAGTGAACAAAGTGAAAAACTGTGAATCCAAACAGTGAAGCAACACTGTGTATGTGTATCACTCTTCAGTGCTCCTACTCAAACCAACACTGTGACACTTCTAAATTGCAGTAAGGAATGCATACCCTTACCAATATTCCAAAAAAAACCGCTTTCAATATCATACAATAACTGGTGGGAGACGGCCCTCCTATAGATCTCCACAAGGTTTACACTGTCTTCACGGCACTGTCTGGGTCCATTAGCCTTGATATTCCATATGTCCCCATATACCATGCTCCATATAAACATATGAGGGACAAAATAGTGTAATTTCTTCTTCTTTTTCTTATTCCTTCTTTTTTCTTCTTTCTTCTTCTTTCTTTTCCTTCTTCCGTTTTCTTCCTGCTTCTTTTCTTCTTCCTTTTTCCTTCTTTCCCTCTTCCTTCTTCTTTTCCTCTTCCTTCTTCTTTCTTCTTCCTTCTTCTTCTTCTTCCTTCTTCCTTCTTCTTTCTCCTTTCCTTCCTTCTTCTTCCTTCGTCTTCTTCCTCCTTCTTCTGCTTCCTTCCTCCTTCTTCCTTCTCCTTTCTTCTCCTTTCTTTTTTCTTTATTCTCCTTTTTTCTCATTTCTCCTTCTTTCTCTTCTTTCTTCCTTCTTTCTCTTCTTTCTTCCTTCTTCCTTCTTTCTCTTCTTTCTTCTACTTCCTTCTTTCTTGCTTATTCTTTCTTCTTTCCTTCTTCTTTCTGCCTCCTTCTGCTTTCTTTTTTCTTTCTTTTTCTTCTTTCTTCCTCCCTCTTCCTTCTTCTTCTTTATTCTTCCTTCTTCTTCTTCTTCTTCTTCCTCCTTCTTCCTCCCTTCTCTTCCTCTTCCTTCTTCTTCTTTTCTTCTTCTTCTTTCTCCTTCTTTCTTCCTTCTTCCTTTCTTTTGCTTCTTTTTCTTCTTCTCCTTCTTTCTTCTTTCTTTCTTCCTACTTCCTTCTTCTTCTTCTTCTTTCTTTCTTTCTTCTTTCTTCCTTCTTCTTTCTTTCTTCCTTCTTCTTCCTTCTTTTCTTCCTTCTTCCTTCTTCTTCTTCTTCCTTTTCCTTCTTCTTTCTTCTTCTTCTTTCTTTCTTCTACTTCCTTCTTTCTTTTTCTTCCTTCTTTCTTCTTCCTTCTTCTTTTCTTTCCTTCTTTCTTCTACTTCCTTCTTCTTTCTTCTTCTTTCTTCTACTTTTTCTTCTTCCTTCTTCTTTCTTTTTCTTCCTTCTTCTTTCTTTCTTCTTCTTTCTTTCTTCTTCTTCTTTCTTTCTTTCTTCTTTCTTTCTTTCTTCCTTCTTTCTTTCTTTCTTTTCTTTCTTCTTCCTCTTCTTCTTTCTCCTCCGATTTGCCCATCATTTCCGGGAAAATCGGCCGATCATCAAAATCGACCTCGAATTTTCCAACATGACCAATAAAAAAAAAATGTGCAAAAAACGGCCGACAAATTAACCCACTAACGGTGCATAAATTCGGCCGATTTTCAACCCGTCTATGGCCGGCATTAGTCCTCATGCACACCGGACGTTTTTACAGCGGCTGTTTTTGGCTTCTGGCATTTTTTTTTTTTCTACGTTCAGTAAACCCCCCAGCATGTTATCCTGTGTGTCCATGCACACATAGACTGGAATCAATGTTTTTTGGCTGGAAAAAACCCAGAACTAGTAGGTTTCTAGAGGAGTTTTTTTAGCTGTAAAAAACGCTCTAACTCTGAAAAACGTGGTAAAGCGCCGCAAACCGGCATTTTGGGGTGTTTATTTGACCAAAACATTTTTTTTTTGAGTAAAAAAAAAAACGCTAAAAAAACGAAACGCAGAAAAACGCAGCTAAACGCTAATGCAAAAATGGTAAAAAAGAGCTGAAAAACTCGCATTTTGAACGTGACTTTACACAGCTAAGGGTACCGGCGTGATCAAAAAAATTATATCCTGAAAGCTTACCGAGCCATATCATTGATCCCCAGGGACAGCTGATATCATCTGCATCAAGTTGGTAACATGGTTTCTTAGAATTCCCAATAGCAACAGATTCACTTATGCCGGCCATACATGGGTCGAAATTTGACCGTTTTTTTTGTCCGAAAATCGGACCTAAGAATAATCGGCTGATTTTTGCTCTGTTAGTGGGTCAATGGCACCAGCCGAGTTTCGTGGTTCCTCCCCTTTTTGGTGATCGGCATGTTGGAAAATTTGTGAAAAACAACCAATTTTCAACTGAATGATGGTCAAATCGTACGATCATTTTTCTGAAAAGAATATGCGCATGAGCCGTGACCTGGAAGGAACAGAAGTTTTGCCTGTTATATGGGGTAAACTTTATGACTTGGTCGGCCAATTTTCGAAAATCATTGATGGCACATGGGATTACTGAGCGAACGTTTTCTATTTTTGGACGACAAATCGTTCAGAATTTGAACCATGTATGACCTGCATTAGGCACCATTCACACTGAGCTGGGCGTTTTTTCACGCATTTTTTTCAGGCGTCTTTGAGCATTTTTTTTTAGCAGATATGCGAATGTTATAGACTTTTTTTATGTAGGCGTTTTTGCTGTAATAAAAATGCTGAAAATAGAAACAGCTGCTGCTGTTTGAACTGAAAATGGCTAAAAAACCGCTTGTAAACGCTCATTCTCACTGTTCAGGCGTTTTTTCCGTTCAAGTCTATGGGGACAAAATGCTCAGATCTGTCTGAAAAGTAGCGCAAGTACTTTTTTGAGCGATAGGTGTTTTGCTACAGAATGCTAAAGTGTGAACAGGGGCCATTGGAAATAATGGGATTTTACTTGTTGAGCGTTGGATGCATTTTTTTTTATGCGTTTTACATTTTTTTTGGGACAGTTTGTTGTCAGGAAGATTAACCATTTCAATACTGGACGCTTTTACCCCCTTCCTGCCCAGGCCAATTTTCATGTTTCAGCACTTTCAGCAATTGCACGGTCATGCAACTAGAGCTTTCCTTTGGTGGTATTTAATCACCACTGAATTTTATTTTTTTTTTTTTTTGTTAAATTAAACAAAAAAAGTCCCAACAATTTTGAGAAAAATATAAAAGTTTTTTTTTTGATTCTGTTCTAGGTTTTGCAAATAAAATAATTGTTCTTAATAAATTTAGGCCAAAATTTACTCTGCTACATTTCTTTGGTGAAAAGAACCAAAATCAGTATTTATTATTTAGTCTGTAGGAAAGTTATAGAGTCCACAAACTATGGGATATATCTGAAAATCAATCAATACTGATGTACTAATGGCCAATCTCATTTCTTGAGACCCAAATATGTCGGGACAGTACAAGCATCCCCCAAATGACCCCTTTTTGGAAAGTATACAGTCCGAGGTATTTAGTAAGAGGCATGGCG